CCTTAGCGCCAGACACCTGCGGTCAGACGCAGTGAAAGGCGTCAGTGCCACAGCCCAGATGGCTTTTTCCTTTTTTCTTCTCAGCTTGGTCTTTTAAAAGTGCTCTTCCTAAAATAAACACTTTTTTTAAAATGTCAGCCATCACAGGAACAGTCGGGTACCGTTGTTTGTTTATAGATCAGCCAGAGCTCGTCGAGAAATAATTTTAATTAAGGGCAAAGTGTCTGGTATTCTGATTCTCTGCCTGCATTGTTTTATTCATCACAGCTTTTCCCAGCTGAACATCAATAGGCTGTTCTCTGTACAAATCACTTCTCCATTCCCCTAACTTTAATTTACTTCTCTGTCTTTGGGAAATCAATTCTTTTTGCCTTTTGGGGGATGGCAACACGAAGCACCTGGGAAAGAATGGCTGCGAAAAACCTCCATTCAGCGAGAAACCGGAAGTCACATCGTGTGAACTTTAATAATTGTTATAATTATTATGTACAGGATTATAATATGCTGTTCCATGTTAGGGGGCATGTCTGTTTACAGCAGGGGTGGGCAATCCTATCCGCAAAGGGCCGGTGTGTATGCGGGTTTTCGCTGCAACTCCCTAATTAGATTACTAATTAGAGGACTGATTGGCTGAAGAGTCCTCACACCTGGGTTTGAACAGCTGACCTACAGGTTATCCCAAAAACCTGCATACACACCAGCCCTTTGCAGATAAGATTGGCCACCCCTGGTTTACAGGCTTTGCAGGGTTCTGTTAGACATACATGTTTCTTCCTGCTCAAGTCAAGCCAATCCTTGAATTTCATTGTCATGTTCAGGGTCGAGGAGCAATTCCTTCAAATTTTCAGACCATGACAGCATGGATGGGAGGCTGGGATCTCCTGCAGTGTCTGATGAAACTGACGCTTTTTTGATAGAGAGAGAGATCAGCTTCGCTTCGTTGGAATTTATCCCCGGATTCAAGCTCAGTCTTCCAGATGCTCTGGCGCTGTCGAAGCGAAGCGGATCCTAATATATTTTCCTCACTGATACTGTCGTGGTCCTCGACTTATCAGATGCTGGAAAGAGTTCCCATAATCCACTGCGTCTGCGTGAAACATAAACGTGCTTGTTGGGAAATGCAGTCGCTCGAGTCACAGAAAGGAAGCAGGGAGAGACTGAGGGAGTTTTGTGAGTGGAGTCAGTGACTGTGTCAGAATTCAGGGGCGCCATCGTGACATAACCACTTATAGACTGGATTCAGGCAGCACAGTGGGAATGCTGGTTTTAAGTTAGCTGGGCTCTTAAATACCCGTGACTAAGCTATTAATTGAATTAATTTAATTAGTTTGAGGCCTAGTCAAGAAATCCACTAATGGCAAATAAATACGTAAATAGAACAAGAATGCAGTAATTATTTTATTGAAATTAAATAGTAATAATAATAATAATAATAGAAATAATTTTTCTGGCTTGTTAAATAAAATGTAATTAAAATGTAATGTAGTTGAAATTAAATTTCACTTTAATTGTAATTAAAGTCTTGCCCAGCAACAGAACAGCTGGGACACAGTGTATTGTGTCGGCTCCTTCCTATAAGACGCTTTGGTAACAGCAGCATGATTCCCCTCTTTTTTGCTCATGTCCACATGCTTGGCTATTAAACACCATCCGCTGCTCCTGCAGTGTTTCTCTGTTACTGATCTGCAAGCTCACTGGGCACTGTGCAGGGCTCCGGCCACCTGGAGACGTGTTGAGCACATGACTTTGTGCCAATGAAGCATTCATGAGCAGAGGGAGGAGTTAAGGAAGGGCACTGGTGGCATTCCATTAAGCCGTCCTCTTCGGGAGGATTTGTCAGCCCCCAGACACAAAGGGACAGGAGAGAGACATTTTAGAACGTATGACATGTGAAGCAGTTGGGGTTAAGGCCACCGATTCACAGTGTAGCTCTTATCGTTTATAAGGAAAGTGTCTGAAAGAGAAGAGGGAAAAGGAGACATGATATAGGTGAGAGGACACCCAGCCAGTGCCCATCATTGGGGGATGTGGAGGTCAGGCTCCGGCAGACGGTGAGGGAGTCCCATTCTCGGGGGGGGGGCCTGGGGGGGGCCTGGGGAGTTCTTTCCGACCAGCCCTGACACCCAAATCCCCCGAAATGAGACACACATTAAGTGACTGAACATCACCTCCCACGGTCAACATCACTATAAATGATAAAAAAAACAGTATTAAACATTTCAAGATAAACAGGATAATATCAAAAATCGCTAATTATGTTGTGGGAGCTGACAGCGATAATAAAAATTGGTGCTGAAAGTAAACAGCCAATTAGCTGCTGTGATTGGGAGCTGTAGCCTGTCTCAGAGGACAGGGCTGGGGGTGGCTGCCAATTCTGTAGTCCACACATTGTCATTACAAAAGTGCAATTAGCAGCATACATGCTGACTGAATAAATAATCAGTGAATACATGTAGCAGGAACAAGGAAGCTGCCATTAACACTGAAAGCTCTACGACTGCATCTGACTGCAATTAGGCAGCAGTTTTGTGAAACTTCATTATGCTTTAGGATGAGCCTGCAGAGCATCTCCTGCATCATGCATTTACTGCATCGTGCATTTCCTGCGTCATGCATTTACTGCATCGTGCATTTCCTGTGCAGTGTATTTCCTGCGTCATGCATTTACTGCATCGTGCATTTCCTGTGCAGTCTATTTCCTGTGTCCGGTGCAAAACTCCATGACTGGTGGTTGCTATTGGAATAATAAACTTTGTGCATATTTTGAGCCTGTGAAGAGAGAGAGTGCTCCAGAAAATGACGTTCCTGATCAACGGTTCGGTGCCTGAAGGAGGTTCAGGGTGCCTGAAGGAGGTTCAGGGTGCCTGAAGGAGGTTCAACCTGCCTCTAGGTACCGGAGTGCTGAGCACTTTCCTTGCTGCTATTAGAGGAATTCCTGTTGATTGAGGCCGCAGCATGTTTGCTGGGTGCATGTTCAAGTGAGAAACCTCTGCCTGTCCCCCTGAGCTCAAGTCCCGACCAACAGCCGCCACATGATCTTGGACCTGAATGTGAAATCAGTGCTTCATCAGGAGTCCCAAAAATAAAAGCTGAAAAAAAACTTTATTCACAGGAGCGCCAGTCATGTGCACGACAACCGGAGGGGTCACAGGGTGCGTGAGGGGTTCACTGAGAATCTCCTGCTAACATCCACTCAGACTTAATCTCGGTTTCGGTCAAAACCAAGTGGCTGTTCAGTAACTTTTGAATGACGGATTACACATTAACTTAAGAACAACGCTGGATTAAGTTTTACCTGTTAGCCACGATAGCTTCAGAGATTACAAAGAATGAACGTGATTTGGAAATATCCAAAAGAAACGCACATGCTTTCACGTTCAAAGCATTTGCCGTGTGGCTGAATTATTTCTGAATCGCCTCCCTCTGCTTTCATGCTTTAAGCAGCTTCCAAATTTTCACAATGGCACGCATGCGGAGCAGAATCATTGGCTATTGGACAGGTAGGACACACTGCAAAGCTCAAGGGGGGGGGGGGGCACGAAACGGAGAAATCAGCCAGCGTGGCGTCTGGCGACAGACCGTGAAAAAAAAGATGGCGGAGTTGGCAGAGGAGAGCACTTGGGCTCATCATGGCCGGCAGGCGGGTTCCAGCTCACCCTCGTTATGCTACCCGTCTCCCCCCGTCCCTCAGCGGCTGGGTGGGTCTGTCTCGTATGCTAATGCGGCACCAGGTTGGCGTCGAGTGTCCTGAAATGCTGCAGCAAGACTAAATATCGGCCGTCAAATTCCAGTATGACTTTCAGACAGAGGGGGAGAAATGAAAGTGAGAGGAAGGCGAGAATTTCCACGGCGTTTAGCGGGACGGGACACGCTGCACTTCCCACCCGCCGCTACATACCGGGTTGTGTTACATCGGCCAAATACGCATGGCTGTCTGTGTCAATATGTCATCTTCACAAGCAAAAAGTTACCAAAAAAGCCACATTTTTCTTTGGCAGATGAATAAATCTGATATGTGGATATCTGATGATTCAGAACCTTTGACACATGAATCAGAACCAAGAGAGATTCGATCCTGGACTATCCAGTGTGATACTTTAGCAGGACGTCCAGTGTGCTGCGTTTGCATGATAAACGCTGCGCAGGATTAAAAAATGACACGGATCAATAAAAGGGCCGAGATCCATTAGAAGGATCATGAATCAGTCAAGGGCTGTTTTGATGTGTTCTGACTGAGTGGGGTTTCCTTTATGCTCTGGAGTGCCAAGGAAGACTGCTGGGAAGCCCCCAAGACGTGGTCCACAAGGGCACAGGCACGCGCACACACACACACACACACACGCACACGCGCACACACACACACACGCACGCACACACACACACACACACACACCTAATGTCATTACAGTCACCTGTGGGAACCTATTGAAAATAAATATTGCCATAGAAAATATGCGTCTCACTGCCTGTCTTAAATGGAACAGCCATCTTAGCTCCCCAGGACAGAGCAAAGTTTTTATGTCATTATCCCCAATTCTTGTGAGCTACTTATGTCCATGGGGGCAGGTGAGCTGGGGGGGTCACTGATGACCCCTGCCATCTGGCCCCATGCCAGCTATCTCCCAGGGCGCCTTTAGTGGCGCTTCTACCTTATCAGGACCTGAAAGCTCCCCCAACGTCTAAAAATAATCTCCTTCATTAAGACGGTATCCATGGATACCGAGACTCAGTGGCGCTGCAGCGTTCCTGGACTGAACCCATCCGCCGCCGTGAGGCCTTCATACAAACGGGTGAGGACCGGTTAGGCCAGACGAGACAGACGGCGCTCCGAAATGCCACGGCTCGCTCTGCGCGGAGCTCGGCCATGGCTAAAGGAATATCTCACCATTAGGATGTTTAAGTGGCGTTTATTGAGGGGGGGTGGAGATGAGAGATGATAGAACTGAGGTTCTCGTGGCGCCCCCCCCCCCCCCCCCACCCTCCGAACCCCCCAGCTGGACGATACCCAGAACAGCAATGTGGAGACGTGTCTGCAGGTTACCGGCTTGATAACAAAATGTTCACATGTCATACAAGCGTCCTTTCAGTCTAGAAACAGGAAGATCGACATCCCAGCTGCTGTGATATTCGAGTCTGTGGTTAAAACACTGAGTAGGTGAAAGGGAGTTCGGCTTCGGGGGGGGGGCTTTCGGCAGGAGGATTGGTCTGGAGGGGCTGTGGAAGGGTATTCTCCACCTTGTGGAGCTTTGGCCGCCCCGCCCCCACCCCTGCCCCCGCGGTCCTGCCTCCCCTTCTACAGCCGAAAGCATCCTGAGCAGGAGCTGCTGGTCTGGGCGTTCAGTTGTGGCTTCACCGCGTCCCGCGCCTGAGACTGCAGGACGTCGTTCTCGTTGGCGATGATGTGCTTCACCAGGCAGCTGGCGGCCTCGTCGATGTTAATGTTCTCCTGCCGAGAGACACGAGTGGAAGGGGGAATTAAGCTCCTCGTGGTCCACAAATACTGGACGGGGCCCCCGGCACTGGGTCTCTGGGTTCTGACAGCCTCACCAAAAGAAGACTTCAGAATTTACCAGAAGACTTCGGAAATGACAGTCAGTGTTTGATCTGTACTTGAAATGGGATTAAAATACAAAAAAACATAAAATGTTTTTCCCCGGGGACTGTCAGTGACACATAGGACCAGAATCACTGACACTGCTGCCTCTTGGAAATGGGAAAACCCACTGAACTCAGTGAAGATTGCAGACCGTCACGGCTGGCTAGCGGAAAGCAGGCCACTGGGAGACCGGCAGCACCCACACCCAGAAACCCAGTGACACTCTGCCCCAGTTCAGGAGGAACTCCCCGGCACGGCGCCGTACAGCCGTGACGCCGCGCTACAGCTCACAGTAGGTCCTGGTTGCTAAGGAACCAGATGGTACCTCGCATGTCCCTGTGACAGGATGCACACGACCACGGCTGTCTAGTCGATATGTACAGATCTCAAAAAACATCAACATCTACAGCATTAACTCCATGCTGCGGTTCCTGCCTCATTTGGGGGTTAATTTAATAATGGCCAATGCACTCATTTCACCGACTGCAAGTAAATGAAAATCAATCCATATTGCATTGTGTTTAATGGTGTTCTTCATGAATCGGGCTGATACTGAATCTGCCATGAGTGAGTGAGTGAGTGAGTGGGTGAGATAACTGCAGCTTGAATATGCATGAGATTCTTTGTCAGAGGTTAGCTGGGAAAGGGGTGGAGAGGTGGGAGACAGTGGGGGGGGGTTTGGCCTGTTAAACATCTTCAGCTCTTCACAACAGGCCACGCCCACTCTGCGTTACATCGCCACGTACCTGCTGTTAATATTAAGGAAAGTATCTAATAAAAATGCGACTGAAAGCAGTCCAGAGACAACATTCCTGCAAAGCGTGTGACTCTGGACTGTGGGTGGAAAAGAGCACCCAGGGAATCACACACAGGCAAGGGGGGGGCAGGACCCACAGGCATCATTACAGCCACCTCTTAGACAATAAGCCCAGGGGCTACATTTTACAGATACTTTTATCCAATGTGACATATGAGTGAGAAAGCAGGACCAGCCAGTCCCCGGAGCAATAGGGATTAAGGGGCCAATAGTGACAACATTCTGCCAGTGGTGGGATTTAAACCAACACCCATCTGATCACAGACACCAAACTAACCTGCCCTAAAGTGCTGAGCCACATGCCTCCCAACACTCACAGCACTAGTTACAGTTCAGCACTAATACCAACTGATAGCAGCTGAATACGCAGTACGCAGTGCGCAGTGCCTCAACAGGAAGCTCCCTTTTCATTTCTCTATGCACCCCCCCCCCCCCCACTTTTCACACCAGCCCAACCTCATATTTAGCCTTGGTGAAACATTCCACAGCCCACCTACCCACCAGAAGTCCCCCCCTTCTCAAATCACTGCTCACTCTGACCTTCTAGAGTCACACTTTATAAAGCAAACCTGCAGTTACCCAGCATTCCCTGGGTATAACCCTACGGCTGCACTTTGGTAGCTCATAAACATTGAAACTACATGTAACATCTACCGCTTATTTGACCTCCATGACCTCTGACCTTTGTGTGACTCCTCAGTATCCTTACTCTGGCCCCCAGAGTGTCCGTGTGAATTGAGAAGATCCGAATCTCTGTAACCTACTCCTGACCTGGCCCTCTCAAACCTGCATGCCCTCCACGGGTCAGGAACCTCCAGCAGAATCATTCTCATAAGTTTAAGTCAACACCAGCGAAGGCCTTATAACTGCATGCAGATCTTCAATGTTCCCTGGATCCCGTGATCATACAAAGGATTAGAGCACCGTATTAAATATACAGCTTGCAGACCTTTGGAATCTATAATTAATCAAATTTAGTAATTACATGCTTTAAGCAAAGTCAATGCATGCCGTTATCTTGTCATGTCTTAAAGGGCATTTTGCTGCTAGGATATTAAGGTGATCTTCAGGACGGCCGTGTTGAACAACTTTCAGTAACGTGCATGACAGATACCATGCCTGAGAGGCAGTACCGGTCCAAGTTTATGAGGTAGCCTTTCTGCTGGCACCCCCCATCCAAGACAAAGTGAAATTGGCTTGCTAAGTTTGGTGCCCCCTCAAATGTCGGCGCATGGGTTGACCGGCACTGCCGAGAAGAGCTCCGGTACCTTGGCCGAGGTCTCGAACCAGCCCACGAATCCGTTCTCCTTGCAGAACTGCTCCATCTTGAGGCCGTTGTTGGTCAGCACGTCTCGGCCCTGGTCACACTTGTTGGCCAGCAGCACGGCCGCGACACCTCCGCCGTTTGGCAGGCTCAGTTTGGAGTCCAGGTCCTCCTTCCACTTGGTGACTGCCTCGAATGTGGAGGGTCGCGTGACGTCGAACACGATGAAGGCGCCGGTGGCTTCTCTGTAGTACACCCGGGTCATGTTGCCGAATCGCTCCTGACCTTCGAAGGGGATAAAAACACAGGAGAATCTATCAAAACCACCAAATGAAATATTTGTAGAGGTACATCGAGATGCTTATTTTCACAGATTCCATTTGGGTCTGAGCACAGGTTTGGCAACGCTGGAGCAACTGAGGAGTAAGAGCCTCAATAGCCCAAACACAACATTAGTCTGCCGAATCAAGGATTCAGACCAGCAACCTTCTGATCACAGGTACAGAGTCCTGACCTACTGAGAGGGACAGCGCCCACCGAAGGCTGTCGTCCAACTCCACGGACCACTGCCACTATCTACTCTTTATCGTTTACAGTTACGGCTATTTTCAGTGAACGGACCTGACCACGTGAAACTCACACAATCGGCCGTCTTACAGCTCTTGGTCATGTGTTCTGCTCTATGGGATCTTTATCTCTCCACCATTCTCAGGCCGGACACTGTAGTCATAACTGGAAGTGAAAGGTCAACAGGTATTAAGCCTTCTTTATTTTTAAGGGCCTGATGAGTTATAATCACAAAATTACAGACAATGACGTCAGCAGCTCTACTCTGCCCACAGAATGCTGCTTAAGAGCCGTTTACTGCTAAATGAAAAAGGTAGATGGCTGTTTGACAGAAGGTACACTGCTCTAAGCATGGCTGGGCTATGCGCCTCTAACACCTCCTGACCCCCAGGGGGCAGCGGTGAGGCCAGACGGTCTCGATTCAGGTGTGAGCAGCAGGACGCTAGCTTAAGCCCCTCTGCTACTCCAGTCTCGTGATCTCTCACTCGAAGGGGGGGATTACAGCTATGGCCGAGTCATGTGCCAGCCCATAAGCACTCGATGCTGGGACCATTCTTTGGGTCCTGGGGAGCTGAAAACTAGCACTACATCAAATAAGCAGTAAAACCCATTTTAGCCCCCGACTGACCCCTCACTTTCCACGCTATTCGTGCCTGACGTTCTCTCTGTGCCGCGTAAAACACTTTCCGCTTAGCCACACCAAGCAACTAAAAAGCTGTTTACCATCTATTACCCCCAAAACACACAATAAAATTAAACTGTTAAAAGAAATCTGTCTAAAATCAGACACATAAAATGAATTCCATGCTAGGTGTCTTCAAAGCCATTTTCTCCTGGGTGGAAATACAGTCAGCATTAGTGTGCATTAGGGAACAATGTGTGAAGCTCATATCCAGCCTGCGGAGTTTCCACGGCGGACTCATTAGGCCAAACGGAAGCCCTATGTCTATCATTCTGGGGAAATGGACACCCTCCCTAAAATGGGCTGCCTGTGCAGAGCGCACTGACCCGAAAGCGTCCTCCGGGGCCTGGATCTGAGCAGAACCCGGGCCTCCAGGAATTCCCTCAGGAGAAACACTCCTCCAGGGCTTTCCTTCTCCGCGAGAAGGCCACCCCACCACGTACGCGCTGCTCAACACATGAGCTGTGCCGTTCCGTATTTAGATGCTCCACAATGGAGGTGGGAGAGTTTCAACCTTCAGCCTCTGTTTCGGGATTCGGAGTGTCCTGCACCTACTGGCCCTCTGACCCGTGCCGGCGGGGGTTAACCCCACCAGAACATGCGCAAAATAGCTCAAATATGCCAGAAACTGGGTTTATTCCCTCAGCTGACACTGCACACAGCTCTGCTCATGCAGGACTGCAGTTCCCCGTTTGTTTTCTGGGCCGTTTTTCTGCTCCGATGCTCAGGTGACCACCCAGTATCTCCCAGGAGACTCTGTATTCTCGCACTGCATGCCCTCGCCTCTGGCCCCAGAATCCGAGGAGCCTAACTGGTTGGAATGTGCTCAGTGAGTCCGGCAGGACCATGCTGAGGACAGCGCCTCTAATCCTCAGCAGGTACGGCATGGAGTCCAAGCACAGATCACAGAGCAGAGTCAGAGCGCAGAGTCATGACACAGAGTCACAGCCTCCGTTCGTATTTACAATGACTCCTGTTGTGGACCCCCCCCCAAGGGTCTGATCTCTTCCACATGAGTCTCAGACACATGACTTACACATACCACTGTGTTCGGGGTGTTAGTGCCACCCCTCCCTCCCTTGGGGGGGGGGGGGGAGCAGGGGTGGGGGTGTTCATCTGGAGTTTTTACCCTCATGTGAGAGCTTGAGGTATCGTACAGATACGGACATTCAGCTGAGCTTAACTGAACACTCCACCACTTAGTATGACTAAATTGTACAGGAATACATTAATAATAATAAAAACAGTCATATTAATAATAATATCTACAAATCCCTACATATATTATTACATAATTGCTTTTTAACATCTTATTTGTAATGTACTTCAGTCCTTACTTAAAACTGTATAAGACGTTAAAATCATCACACACACTATACTTAAAATCATCATTTTAAAGGTAGTTAAAACGCATTATAAAATATGTTAATAGATCAAACAAAAGTAATAGAGAAATATGCACCAAATAACCAATAAATTGCCCCAGAATTTAGACTAATGAACAGATTAACTATATGACTTCATAAGAGCAATTATATTATATAATATTGTATGACTTGCTATTTTCTGGGTTCAAGGCCTGACGAAACGCGTTTCACGGCATCAAACGGCCGAAACCACCAGCCTTCTAAAATCCCAGATTACAGTATCTGACTGTGAAACAGGGAGTAAATTAAATCATGTCCTCTACCCTGCAGGTCACGTGTGACACTGCAAAATTACTCCAATGTACGGGATACTTATAAACTGACGCCCATTCTACCTTCATAATTTATATTCAAATATTTTACTTTTCTAAGAACCCGATTGCTCTTTTTAAAATAAAAATAATTAAAAAAAAAAGTTGCAGAGATTGTCGGAAGCTCCCTTAAGGTTTGTGGCGTACGGCGCCGCGCCGCCCTACCTGCGATATCCCACAGCTGCAGTCGGATGGTCTCCGTGTTCCAGTTGAGGACCTTCAGGGCGAAATCCACCCCGATTGTGGCCCTGTAATTGGGGGAGAAGCTCTGCTGCACGTAGCGCTTGATGACGCTGGTCTTCCCCACTCCCAAGTCGCCGATCACTAACACCTTGTAGAGGTGCTCCTTTCTGCTGCCCTGCATGTTGAGTGCTAAGGGCTAATGCTGATCATTCCCCGCGTAATCCGCGGTGACAGAGTAAGGCAGTGAGGAAGGAGGGCGTATAAATGCTACGGCCCTCCCAGAGACCCCGGCCGGAATGCGCTGGCAGTGTGGCTTCCCCAAACCGTCTGCCCGCTGGCTGCTCCATCACCACGCACGGCTACTTATACCAGCTGCCCCCTCAGGACGAACCCCTCCCCACCCGCTCAAAACTTATAGTCAAGGTTCAGAAGAGGAAATAAGAACCTTCCTCTGGTCCCATCTGGCTTGTGAAATTTCAAATGAGTCCTCCAGTCGCGAGATTATTCATGGCATCAGGCTGAACTTTTTAAATATATGTAACTACTACTTAAATGTTTTAAATAAATGTTCATTCTTCCCAAAGCGAAGATAAGCAAATATTTTTATGTTTAGTGCGCTGGACCGTGCCCACTTTCAGCACTTCCGAGATTTCCTAATGAGCCCTGCAGTTTAAATATAAAAGGGTTATTTTTTTTTAGTCGCGATCGCATTTTATGTTACAGACACATAAGTAGCGCGCGGATAATTCATATTTAAAATACCCGACATATGAGTTTGAAAAGCATCTTTATTTTTCCCCAAGAGACAAGGCAAACAATTCACAATAAATGTTTCCGATTAACCGCGCGCAAATCTTTTACAGCAGAGATTTCACAAAATTTAAAACAGATGATTCTTCGATGCAAAATTGTTTTCCTCTTTATATAGTATAAAAACATCTTCCCTTTTGAGATATGCCAGTACTGTGGCATATAGTATGCAATGTTCTCCCCAAATAAAAAATAAAAACCTAACATCAGGTTATTCCCCAAACTGCCCCATTGCAAAGACTGTTTTATAGGGCTCCTTCCTGAGATTTAATCAATATTTAATTAAAATGCATCCCAAGTGCCTTCAGTTAAGACACTTTTTCCACATAGTGGCTTTTCGTTTACAATGGTTTGAAGCCAGTATTTCTGGGTTGATGTTCCAACAAAAGCAACTGCAAACTGGCCCAGGAAAATTGTTCCTAAATAACTTTTCAAAACAAATGCATAAAAATTTCCACATTCAAATATTACCAAGGGACAATCTATGTCCTCCTTTATATTCCAAAGGTGCTTAATTCCCTTTAAAATCTGTCAAACAGAATTTTCATTCAAAGAAATCATCAATACTGAAGCTTAGTACTGAACTGGAGGAATAGCGCCTCCTACAGATTGGGGATGGGTTTCGCCGCCACGGCGATGCTCTCGATGCTACACTCGTCAGAACCCCGCCGGATCCGGAAGTACCCTTCCTCGCCCCAGCCGGTGCCCCAACTGTTCTTCACAATCCAGTACTTCTGGCCTGACTTGGGGCAGGTACCGTAGCCCACCAGCAGGACGGCGTGGTTGGTCAACTCGAAAGGGTTAAAGCTGTTAAAGCTGCCCGCCGCGAAGGTGTGGTGGTAGATGCCCCCCCTGTACGCCATGAAGTCTGGGTAGACCTCGAAGGCCACGCCCATTGGCCCTTCTCGTACCAGCTCTAGCATCATGGTGGCTTCGTTGCAAGCGCCGTAGAAGCCGCCCACGTAATGGTAGTCGGAGGCGTAGTACCGCGGGCAGCTGTCCTTCACGGTGCAGGCCGTGTTCTTCCCCACGTAGGGAAAGCAGTCCTCCTCCACCACGCCAAAGTCCTGCGTGTGCTTCCCGATGAGGTACGGGAAGCCCCCGTCGCAGCCTGCAGGGGGCGCCAGAGCGGGCCGTTAGCGGGGAAACACGACACGCGGCGGCAGTAACGGCGCAGCAACCGGGTACCTTGGGAGTACTGGGAGCAGGAGACCACGCCCTGGGGGCTGAAGATGGGCTGCTGCGTGTTGTTGGTCAGGATGCGGACGCGCGCCTCCAGCATGCCCATGGTGGCAAAGGAGTAGCAGCTCCCACACCCACCTGGGGGGGGGCAAGAGGGGAGGACTGAGTTAGCGTAGTTACCATTGATTCAATGCATCTGTAGTGCTGCTGTGAGGATATCAGTCACTTCAGGAATGAAATCATTCACACACCCTCCTCTGCACCCCCTCACCCCCAAAAAAGCATCCCAGTTGGTTTGGCACTTTTGGTAATGGAACTTTGATACTAGTACTCAATGGAAAAGGGAAAGAACCGAAAATACTGCACCAAAGGTATGGTACTTGGTGCAGTGGAAAAGCACCCAAAAAGAAGCCACCGGTCCTCAAGCGGGCTGTGTTAGGACAGACAGGGGGCGCCCTGGACCTCAGCACATGGTGTCATACACTGCTGGGCTTGGTCCCCAGGTCAGCGGGAAACAGACCCGAGATCTGAGAACGGAGGGGAACACAGATCAGCAGAGGGTAAGCAGCAGGGTGCAAAGAACAAGGGAGGCCAGCAGGGCGGAGATATGGACACCGTCTGCTTTCCGGTAACGGGGAAAAACTCCACTGCAAATTGGCAGGACAGCAAAGAAAAGAGGCCAGAGCCCCCTCTACTGGTGGGACCCCAAAAGCACAAACAGACATGCTTCAGCAGGCAAAGGTGTGCTTTCTAACATACTAACTGGAGTATTGTTCATGCGATTGTGTAAAATGGCCATGCAGCGTGTCTGTCAGGAGGCGCGATGCACAGCGGGGCCCACAGGGAGGAGTCACTGCCATCATCACCCAGCACTGCATGCAGGGGTCGCCCCCATGACCTCACTGCCATCATCACCCAGCACTGCATGCAGGGGTCGCCCCCATGACCTCACTGAAGGTTACGGCATGCGGCGCCTGGCCAAATGCGAAAAGCGCTACACTGTTGTTAGCCTATAATTCTGTACACTCTGAGACAGCCAAGGCAGTCTGGGAGAAGTACCTGTCCGACCCACCATTACCTCAAAGACGCTCTGCATCTATTGCTAATATTAGCATCTGTTATTAAAAGACCTCCGATCGAAAGGTCAGAGTGCATTTCCCCAAGATGCTCAAAATAACTGTAAACTGCTCCTTGACGGACTTTCATTCTGCATGTTCTGCATTGATCTCTATCAAACCACATGTAATTCCTGCTTTACCATTTAAACTAATCTCTAGTTAGCTGGTAAAAAGGAACAGGATTAAACTACCCAAGTCTTGACCTCTGATTTAAAGTTGAAACCGTATCTGTTGGGGGGCTACTGTCAGTGTGCAAAACATTTCCTATTATCAGACATTTAACATTCTTGGAAATAGATGTCGGTTTAAAAAACCTTTCACAGTAATATAACTGTACATTTCCAGTCTCAGAGAAAATATGTTTCCCTGCTAAAATTAAAAGCAAAACGCCTGGTTATAAGTAAAAACAGAAAAACTGTTTTTCACAGCTCTTAAAGGAGACGGATTCAGCTCGATGCAGCTCCTCACACGTTTATCTGGAAAACTAGATCGTCACCGCAGCCATCGGCCCCCTGGCCAGAGCGGAGCGAACTCTACCCAGGTCTCTATCTCTGAGCGAGCCGGGCATCACAGCACCATAAACCGCTGCTCTAAGATACATTTCGGATGCCAATTGGGGCAACAGTAAACGCCACCAAAAAGGCTGAGCTAGAACTCGCTGGAGTCTCAATGGAGGATTGAATAGCTTCTCTCCAGAGACTCTGACTAACAAATACCAGCAGGACTGGAGGAACAGCTCCCCCCACCAGTAACTGCTTCCTCTTTATGGAGACCACAGCGATCTAGCAAACAGACAGGTGGTCCTGAGGTTCACTTAATCTGACCCTGCAGCTCAGCAACACAATGCCTCTAAATCAGTCACAGGGTGTGAGAGTGTGTGTAACGGACTGGCCTCCCACCCAGGGTGAGCACCAGCCTCCTGTCCTCTGATACCTGGGACCCAGGCTTCAGGCCCCCCACAACCCAGCCTGGATAAGGATGGATAAGGATGGATGGATGGATGGATGGAGAATCATGTTAAGCACTGAAAGCAGGCTGAAGAAAATGCAGAAGCACCTTGGTTGCGCACTGGACTGACGTAATTGACCCCATTGACGTCCCGCCAGTCCCAGTGCAGGGGCAGGCTGCCGGCGAGCTGGGAGACCTCAGCAGTCACCGGGGCCGGCTTCACGCGCCTGAAAGGGAGGGCAAAACATACAGCAACAACAAAAATCATTTAAAGTATTAATTAAACAGCTGGAGCAGCCTACTTCCTGAGCTTCTCTCCCCTAGATGCACTGGATTGTCGCCTCACACAGCGGGCCCAGGCCGCTACGGACAGCCGGCCGGCAACCAGACACGCTTTCCATCCCCCGCTGAGACACTCAGACCCTGCTGAGCGAATTGCCGCTATATCCGAATGGAAGGAGACCTCGGAAGCTGGCTGGGGGTGTTCCTCACTCCAATGGCTCCTGTTATTGAGCGCGGCCGAAATCATCTTCATTTAAAGATGCCAATGAGAAAACAACCCCGATATACTTGAACGTGAACACAAACAGGAACATGAGAGAAGCTCCAAGGCATCAGCTGAGAACAGACGTGCCCCCAGCAACATGCAGGGCCCCACCCACAGCAACCACGCCCATAGTGACCCCGCCCATAGCAACCACGCCCATAGTGACCCGGCCCATAGCAACCACGCCCATAGTGACCCCACCCACAGCAACCACACCCATGGTGACCCGGCCCACAGCAACCACGCCCATAGTGACCCGGCCCATAGCAACCACGCCCATAGTGACCCCACCCACAGCAACCATGCCCATAGCAACGACACCCATAGTGACCCCGCCCATAGCAACCACACCCATGGTGACCCGGCCCACAGCAGCCACGCCCATAGTGACCCCACCCACAGCAGCCACGCCCACAGTGACCCCACCCACAGTGACCCCGCCCACAGTGACCCCGCCCACAGTGACCCCGCCCACAGTGGCCTCACCTCATGATACGGGAGCCGCGTCCTCCCGCTCTCCGGAAGAGCTCCTCTGAGGTGAACAGGTCGTGTTCCTTGTACACGGCAGCCTTCCAGGACGTCTGCATGGCATTGATGGCGTTCACCAAATAGGCACTCGGCTTGTAGGCCTGCTGGAGGAGCCTGTGGTGTCCAGGGCGGGAGGAAGAGAGTGTGTCACCAACACAACAACCACCCACATCTCACTGAAATCAGCAGAGCCTACAGCACCAACAAAAGCTGCAAAATCAACAAGACACACAATTATCCGCTTGCTTTTGTTTGTTTTAATCAGGCTTGAATTTCCTGGATTTGTGTGTCAGAAAACCAGTATATGACTGTTTCCCATCACAAGAGATCAGTTATGTGCAGCTCAGACCAGCCAGGCCAACCATAAATCATCAGAGCATGAAAAAAACCAATGGTTAACTAATATGAAAAAAAGTGATAAAATGCATACGATATAATCCAAACTGATGCAGTGTTCAGGTTGAATTCTAAACATGTGCATGTTCCTGAAAACATGGTGGTTTGAGTGGTGTGTGACCACTGTTACCTTTACTCATGCATCT